GTGCAGTCCGGCGTTTGAATTCAATTCCTTCTTCCGTAGACTGTTGGGAAACAGCTGGAGCTTAGGCGTCGACATCAAAAATCTCATGGCAGAGCGGGAGCAGATCCCCATGGTGTGGCTAAGCTGTGAAGATACTACTACTACTACTACTACTACTACTACTACTACTACTACTACTACTACTACTACTACCACTACCACTACTACTACTACTACTACTACTACTACTACTACTACTACTACTACTAGGCCGTCCCCCCCTGGTGCGACGCCGGTCGCAGAGTTCTTGGATGAACATGATGTCCCATGACAGCTGTCGAGGTCCAAGATGCGGCGTAGCAAGGACAAGGATCGTCCACACCGCTGCAGTAGATAAACATGGATGCTCTCCAAACCCAAATGCGCTAGACCATGGACGTCATTAGGTTTTGGACATGGATGCTCTCCAAACCCAAATGCGCTAGACCATGGACGTCATTAGGTTTTGGACATGGATGCTCTCCAAACCCAAATGCGCTAGACCATGGACGTCATTAGGTTTTGGACATGGATGCTCTCCAAACCCAAATGCGCTAGACCATGGACGTCATTAGGTTTTGGACATGGATGCTCTCCAAACCCAAATGCGCTAGACCATGGACGTCATTAGGTTTTGGACATGGATGCTCTCCAAACCCAAATGCGCTAGACCATGGACGTCATTAGGTTTTGGACATGGATGCTCTCCAAACCCAAATGCGCTAGACCATGGACGTCATTAGGTTTTGGACATGGATGCTCTCCAAACCCAAATGCGCTAGACCATGGACGTTCAGGTTTTGGACATGGATGCTCTCCAAACCCAAATGCGCTAGACCATGGACGTCATTAGGTTTTGGACATGGATGCTCTCCAAACCCAAATGCGCTAGACCATGGACGTCATTAGGTTTTGGACATGGATGCTCTCCAAACAAACGATTTGAATGAAAATCATGATCAAAATGAGGCCCAAAAAACCTTGATTCTGATCGCTAGGTTTTGGGCACGAAAATCGAGACACCCAAAAACAGTAAAAAATCATGAAATTCGCAAAGACAAGTGCTGTAAATACCAGCATTTTCGTGTGCGACATTGATGAACAATGTTAGAAAATATGATAAAATACACACGAAACCAGGAACAGTTGTCACTTTCGATAACTGCGGAAAAAAAGTGCTGTAAAACACAGCATTTTCGACCGCAGCAAGTCCCAAAAATAAGAGGTTTGGGCGTCGCACCGGGGGGGGCAACCCTACTACTACTACTACTACTACTACTACTATTACTACTACTACTACTACTACTACTACTACCACTACTACTACTACTACTACTACTACTACTACTACTACTACTACTACTACTACTACTACAACTAGAAGGGACTTGAAGGGACTTGAAAGGGTCAGCTGTGGGGTTTTGAAAGGATGACCATACTGTCTGTCCTTAAGCTTTAAACGAGATTAGATACGAAAGTCTAGAATGCCACGGGCCTTAATCTCCCAACCCCTAGACCCCTAAATCACAAAACCCCAAACCCCTAGACGCTAAGCCCCTAAACCCCTACACCCTCACACCTATGCCCCTTTTTGAGCCCTCCTCCGCCCCAAGGCTAGGCAACACCTCGCGGTGCACGCAGCTCCTGTACAACCTGGTGATGAATGCCTGCAAGTTCACACCTGCCGGATCGGTAGCCTGTCTTGGTAGGGCTTAGGGCCGTTTAGGGTTTGGTATTTACGGGTTCCGAGTTCGAGGGTTTAGGGTTTGTGTGAGGGTTCAGCGCTGTTTAGGGTGGTTTCTCTACTTCCCAATCATCTATTGTGGCTCACAAGGCTCTTGGCCATACTTATACAGATACAATGTTTCATATACCCCACCCTAAACCCTAAAGCCTATACTCTAAACCCTAAACCTCTCATGTGGTCTAGGCAGATGCCCTCGGCGCTGAGATTGAAAGGAGTTTCTGAGCTACAGCTAGAGACTCCATATCCTGGCTACCCTGCCCTCCGGTCCTAGAGTGCCACCCTGGTTTTTGAAAGCCACTGCCTTCTTCCGCCTCTGACTTCAGGGAAGCTCAGGGCAAGTTGAGTGTTCTTGCGTTTTAGGGTTCGGGGTTGAGGGTTTATGAAGTACTTTAGGATTCTGGGCTGCTTGCATGACTCTCATTCCACCTTTGGCTCCCCGGCGGGCTTGCAACGTAGGGCTTCTTTTTGGGCTCTCCGTATAGATCCGACTGACCCTACATACTTCTCCTACTTTTTATTCGTTCTTCGACTCAGGTGTCAATAAGCTGCACTCACCTGGCCGATGCAAGTGAGCTGGAAATCCGCGTGGTGGACACCGGTCACCCGGCTGTTGAAGCAGCTCGCAGAAAGCCCCGATCCCGTAGTTGGATCGTTTCGTTCATGCAGCTTAGTGGCTTAGTCGTAAACCTTTAACATCAGACCCTAATCCCCGGCACTTTTCAGGCATGTTCGGTTGGGGCTGCAAAATGGCTACTCCAGCATGAGATTCCGGACGCACCTGCGGAGGGACATAGGCCCTTAAGCAGCGACTGCGTTTCAGGCAAGTCAAGAGCCTCTGGCATTACGTACCTCTGGTGAACCTCTATGTATGAGGAACCCAGCTCCCTGCTCCGTCTCAGGTGTCGGACTCCCTCCAGAGGCACTCGAGAAGATCTTCCTCCCTTTTGAGCAGGATTGTTGTTGTCGGGTGGGGGGGTTTTCTTGCTGGATGGATTTCCTTTTGGGTGGTGGCACAGCAATGCAAGTAATAACAATGTGTTGGAGCTCCGTCAAAGTACGACATTACCGCATGCTCCGTCATCATCACCACCACCATCCTCATCATCCCCTCATCACCGTCATCATCATCATCATCATCATCATCAGCATCATCATCATCATCATCATCATCATCACTGGCATCAACAACAACATGATCATCGTCACCATCGCCATCATCATCATCATCATCATCATCATCACTGGCATCAACAACAACATGATCATCGTCACCATCGCCATCATCATCATCATCATCATCATCATCGTCATCATCGTCATCATCGTCATCATCATCATCATCATCACTGTCATCAACAACAAACAACAACATGATCATCGTCACCATCGCCATCATCATCATCACCATCATCATCATCGGCATCTGCATTTGCATAAGCATCAGCGTCATCGTCATTTTCGTCCTCATCGTCACCATCATCATAGTCATCACGATTATCATCATGGACGTAACCGCTGCCATGGTTCTACTCGGGTTATCGTTGCTGCTGCTTCAGTATACGCCAGTTTCTGCCACTTCTTTCTGTTCTCACTGCTGTCCAGTTGCTGCCGTAGCCTTGAGTGCAGAGTGTTATGAAGCACGTCCTGTTCATCCTCCGCCTTTTGACCTGACCCCGACCGCTGCGCTTACCCATGCTCTCGGTGTTGTGTTTTGGGCCTTACGCTTCTTGCAACGGCTGGTACCGCCGCTGCGACCTCGACGAATCGCCGCTTGCTATATTCCACTCCCGACGGACAAGCATAGTGGTAAGTCGTAGCTGTCAGAAGAATGTCTATATTTTCCATGGTCCTGGTTGTCTTTCGGGTCCATAGTGGCAGCTGTTACTTAAAGTCACAGGGGAACGAGACGTCAGCGAAGCGACAGCTACTGTGCGAGCAGTACTGAGAGGAACCAGCAGAATGAATGAAGAGCAAGAATCAGGACGATCAAGTTGTAGTATTCATATTTGACAGTGAGGAACGAGGCCGACAATGGTTGTAGGGCTCAGTCCAAATCTCCGGCGCGGTTGCTGCTGGTGAGATCGCAGTCTGTGAATGACACGCTACTAGTGCCCCAACCCTCCCTAAACCCTAAACCCTAAACCCTAAACCCTAAACCCTAAGCCCTTTCTCTCGCAGAGCCCCGAGCCCCAGGCTTCAGCCGTAAACACTACGCCTTCAAAACCCGTAAACCCTAAAACTCCAAACCCTAAAAGCTAAACCCCTAAACCCCTAAACCCTTAAAGGCGCAAACCCTGAACCCCTAAACCCCTAAACCCCTAAACCCCTAAACCCCTAAACCCTAAACCCTACAGCCCTGAGTCCCAACTTTGCAAGCCTCAAACCCTAAACCCTAACTCCTAAACCCTAAACCCGAAGCCACAGGAGCGGAGTTCGAGCTCCCAGGCGCAACCTGGGGCAGACCGGGGCCTTAGGGATTCAAAGCCTCGGGGTTTAGGCTGCAGGGTTTTTTGGGGGTTTGAGGTTTAGGGTGCAGGCTTCAGGGTTCCGGGTTTAGGGTTTAGGCTGCAGGGTTTTTTGGGGGTTTGGGGTTTAGGGTGTAGGCTTCAGGTTTAGAAGGTCCGGGCTTAGGCTTCAGGGTTTAGGCTCTGGGGTTTTAGGGATTTTTGCAGGCTAGGGTTTCGGGTTCGGAGTGTAGGGTTCAGGGTTCAGAGTTGAGGGTTTGGCAGCCAGCGGCCCAGTCGCCCAAACCCTGCTTTGAATCCATGGTGCTTGCCGAAAGCCGCTTGGGCCCAAAGGCCCCGCTTAGTCTCTGAACCTCCGCCGACCTTGGCCAGTAAGAAGCGCGAAGCAAGCCCAGACGGCCCAAGCACAACACCCCTTGCCTATGGAGTATGCCCGAGATGAAGACATCAAATGTGTAGTATAGCACAGTATAGTACAGTATAGTATGGTATGGTATGGAAAAGTATAGTACGGCATTTTATAGCACTTGCGTCCTCTTTGTTCATCGGCCTGGCTTTCTTCTCCCCATGTCGCCTTCGCGTGGGCGTGAGGCAGCCGGGCTTAAGGGTCGGGACTTTACGGTTTCGGGCCCGGGGTTTAGCGGTTCAACGTTTCGGGCTTGTGCCTTGCGGTTTTTGGTTTAAGGTTCAGTGTGCATGGTTGACATTTGGAGAAGATGCAGCGCCTGGGCTCACGACGTGAGGATTTGGGTTTGTACAAACTTTGAGGTATGGTGGCGACACTGTGGGCCATTCTTGTCCAGCTTCACCCAACTTCTGCAGCTGCTGCTTACATGAGTGGTCAGTGCCTTCAGTTCATGAAGTCGGCTAGCCTGAATCCCGCAATCAAACCTTAAACGGAAACTTTCGTAGACTTCAGAGCACGGCAGGTCCCGAAGGCGCTGGTCGGCATGCTGGCCTTCATGGCGGCTACTGCGGGCCCTTCCTTTGTGCGCTTAGCTTTGCAACGACCCGGGAGGCCCGACATTGTGGTCCAAAGAAGTACTGGATTCGCATTTCATCGTTATCCCTCCGCGATGCGGAGTATTCCTGCAACCCTCCATCATTGTCCTCTCCCCTAAACCCTAAACGTTAAGTACACAGTACAGGAACTCCACTCAGCTCCCCGCGCCCTTTGCCAGGCTCTTCTGCCCGCGTGTGCGTCTCGGCAGGCGGGCCCAAGGCGGGAACAAGGCCTCCGCTGTCCCTGGGTTCTTGTTTAGGAGCATTTCAGCTGTTAGAACACGAAACCCCTTGTTCGTTGCCGTAGATTCCGTGTATGATACTCTACACTTGAAGTTGACCGTGTTTAGTTCCTCAAGGTGAAACAAGAGCCCAGGTTCTGGCCAACTGGCTCGGCGACGAGGCTGCTCTGCGAGCCTGGACGGAGCATCGGCGCGAGGAGATCATCCCCCAGCTGGCCTCCTGGAGCCTCGTTCGTGTGAGAGATTTTGTGCCTGGGTTGTGCTTTGGGATAATTTTTTATTTCCCTTATTTCCTTACAAAGGGAACCTATTCATAAATAATTTTCAAGGGGTTTAAGGCACAACCCAGGTGCCTCAGCCGGTGGCGGAGGAAGCTTTGAGAATTGCCGAGGAATTGGCCGAGGAGGACTGGAGGCAGACCGCACCAGTCGAGGCAGACGATGCAGTGCATCGTTTCAGGTACCGTGGTCTCAATGAGACAGGGGAAGCCTTCAATGCTTTGCAGAAAGCCTTGGAGGGGCTGATTCCAGCTATCCGCTCTGCTCCGACAAGGGCGGAGTTTCGATTCGGCCGCTACGGGCCCTCGGACTTCATCGACACGCACACGGACGAGGGTACCTATGCAGCATTCGTGGACGATCCGTCCCTGTATTCTCGTCGTATTGCATTAATATGGTACCTGACGAAGAATTGGACATGCGCTGACGGGGGTGTCTTTATCGACGACGAACCTGACTGTGTGGGGGGAGGTGCAGAAGTTGTGCCAAGGTTTAACGAAGCCGTCTGTTTCCTGGTGCCACGCTGCCATCGCGTCAGCCCAGTCGTGGCAACGGATCGCTTCCGGTACTCGCTGTATGGCTGGTGGTACACCCGCGGGGAGTACATACCGCCGTGGCAAAGAGCTTCAGTTCGGGCAGCCAAGCTACTTTCCTTTGGTTAGTAGGGAATGGAGGAATGGGGTACAATTATATTTACTATTACTATCATTCTTCCATTCCCTGCTAGCCGAAGGTAAGGCTATCAAACCCTACGATCCCAGGCCCTCTGCATCAAACCTCCGGGTTGAAAGCACATGCAAACGAAGGCCCCATGTCGAAAGTTTGCTCTCTGAGCCACAGTCTCCGCGGCCTTCACATGAAACCTCCGGATTCCTCCCCGAAGCACCCTTTATGGGCCCCAGCATGCTTAATCATCATAGTATAGAGATCTGCAGCATAGGATCCACAATATGTTATATGTATATATGTGTATATGTGTATATATATATATTACATATATACATATATATATATATATACACATTGATTCAGGACTCCTTGATACGATACGGCACCTACTGTGAAGACTGTGAAGCAGCCCTAAAACTCCTTGCACTAAAGCTGAATGCCGAACCCTACACCCTGATCCCTGAACGGGCCCGTGCACCTTTAAAGAAAATAAAGAAGCCCTGAACGCTAAACCCCTAAACCCCGATAAACCCCGAACCGCCAAACACCGAAGGCCCAAGACCCCAAAGCCCGACCCCTCATAATTAGAATCATACTGTTATACTATAACTTTTATAAGGAACCCGTAAAATAGTATAGGTAATAATTAAGGCCCCTTTTGTAATGCTGTAACTCTAATAAGCAACCCCTAAAATGGTATGGGTAATAATTAAGGCCCCTTCTTTTGGTAACCCTGGAGCCTCGGGAGGGTCTTGGCCTGGGGCTGGTCGGGCCCTGAGCCCTCGAAGGGTCGAGGTTTTTGGGGCTTGGAGCTTGGGGGGTTGAGGGGTTTAGAAGGGGTCTATAAGGGATCTATCTATGATAGGTCTTCTGTTGGGGGGGGTTTTTGGGTTGAGTGGTTTAGAGTTCAGGGTTTGGGGTTTTAGGGTGCAGGGTGTGGGCTTAGGTGTTTCCTTCTGATCTTTCGCCGGTCTTGATAAGAGCTACGGACTGTACTCCACATTGCTTCACTGTATGACATGCCACACATTCCACGTAACATAGCTGGCATGCAGCATGACAAACCCGAACGGACAAACCCCAACGATATCAGACCGTTCCAACGCGAGAACGAATAAGCCGGTCAGAATACTGCGCATGCAGGAGTCTACGTACAAGATGGAGACTAGACATGGACATTGTTGCAAATAGTTCCTTAGGATAATCGCAGAGGAATAATGCTGTTGTAGTTGGTGCCGTACGGACGCAGTGCTCGCAAGACTAGTCCGACAGGAAGGGTAGCTATCAGTGCAACCAAAAACCTGGACGAACAGCCTTCGCACTTTAGAGCCTGAACAGAAGAAGCAGAGTTTGCGAACCCAGACCCTAGCTTTAGCCAAACCCTAGCTTTGGGACAGGGCATTTGAGGCCCAAACCTGGTGAACCTTGGAACCCGAAGCGCTAAGCATCGAGGCGGTCTGCAAGGCGATTGCAGAAGCGCATGGAGGGCGCATCCAGGTTCAGCAACCTGGCTGCTGCTCTCTTATGTGTTAACGTGAAGGTTGGGTGGTTTTTTCAAAGCAACCCGACATGGGCAGAACAGGCTTTCTGCAAGGTGGAAGCCTGCCCCTGTGCAAGCGTCGCCACCTCCCGACATGAACATCCTATCAGCAAGACACCCTTGAGGCATTTGCACGTCTTCATGAGTCGATTCACTCGGCAGTATCGCGGGTTATTCCGTGTGACCAAAGTATAGGTGAGATTTTCTGAGTGCCGAAGTTGTATCATCGTGCCAGAATGCAAGAGAGGCACTGGGCCAGTCTTGTTAGGATTAGCACTAGTGTAATTTCGATCATCATCAGTTTCACCTTTTGACTCCATCACGACTTACTCCTGCCATTGGTACCACCACTCTGAGTTGGTCGGTTGCTCGATACAATACTCGACATGATCAAACCCAAAGCCCTAAGCCGCCCTTGAAGCCCCAAGGCCTGGCTCAAAACCCTAGACTTCTTCAGCCCTAAACTGCTGAGTTCTCCAACCTGAGTTCGCCGGATTCCGAGATCTCAGGTCCGAGCTGGGGAAGGGATCCAGTTTCATCGTCACCTTTCCCTGCACCGGTGATTTTTGCCGGGAGCTCGGCAAGAGGCCAAATGCTGGAGACGAGAGCGGTTGGCGAAACGGACGAAGCACCAGGACAGGGCGCATCCAGAGCCTTTCCGACTGGGGTTGGCTGTATTTTGCTTCGTATTCCCTTCGTCCTTCCTGTAACTATTCTCGCTCTCGCCAGAGTCTTGAAGTCTTGATCTCATCATTCAGTGTCGTCATTTTCCCCCCGGCCAGTCTTCTTCTTACTGTGGTTGCTCTTGTTGCAGTTCCTGCCAAGTGCACGTTTACGTTGTTGCTTGGGTATTACGGTTATTAGTTTCGCTGAGGTGCTAGTAATACCCTGTCATGCGAATTTAATGCCTCGGTGCAGTCCCTCCGTGATGATGACGACGACGGTGACTTTTCTTACGATGCCTTCGGTACCCAGACCCCCGGGAGGATCCAAAAAGTAGATCCCTTAATGGGAGTTCCTATAAGGTACCCTTAGTAGTATAGGGCACCAAATTAGGGGATCTACTTTCTAGATCCTCCCGGGGGTCTGGGTAAGTCTTATTCCCCGAGGCGACCGGGTCGAGGAGGTCTTGACTCCCAGGCTTGCCGAGGCTGCGGGCGTGCAAGGCCAGCCGTCTCCTCAGTCCGGCCCTGAACCCTAAAACCCTGAAGCCCTACCCTAAACCCTAAGGCCCTAAGCCCCAAGGCCCGAAAGCACTCATGGTGCCGGGCGTGTCCATGCCTCTGCTTTCGCATTTGCTTGCCCTCTCTGATCTAGAAATGACCATGTCAGAAAGGGTGCAAGCCTCGGAAAACCAACCCCCCAAGCCATACTTAAAGGATCATGGAAATGAGTATTTTTTATACCCCTAATTCAGGTACCTGTAACATGACTTGCAATCTTACTAAGTCCCATGATCCTGCAAGTATTGTGCCAGGCGCAGCTACACCTGGCGAGGTCGCGGGGAGGCTGCAGCGCAGACAGCATTGAAGCCTTAATTTAGATCGAATATGGTTTAATTTGATATGCGAACTGTCGCTTGAGGCCTTTGCTTCTGAGTTCATGTCTGAGGTGGACTTCAATTAAATCGGGGGTTGGCCTTCGCCCAGCGGCCACATGCATGAGGCCTTGAAGCCAAATGTTGCACGAAGCCTAAACCCTAAACCCTAAACCCTAAACCCTAAACCGTGTTTCAAGCCTGGACCCGAGAAAGCCAATTCCGGGTTCCATCTCACAGCCATAACTTCAATCCCAACACGACGTCCTTCGAATTTCTGATTTTCCCTAGGCCCATACTCTTGTCCATCGGCGCAGACGACAAAGCGCATGAGGTGCGGCCGGTACTACTGATTCTTCCAGGGTTTGGGTGTTTTGAGGTGGAGGTTGGGGAGCTAGGGGCTGAGGAAAGACTCTAAAACCCCCAAACCTTAAAACCCCACGAAACCTTACAACCCCCGCTACAAACCTTATGAAGCATAACCCGAATCCCGAAACCCCTTGCAGTGCTTGGCACTCCGAAACAGAAAGCCCTAAACCCTAAGCGCTAAACCGGCTAAACCCCAAACCCGGAACCCGGGACACCTATCTCTGAAAGCACTAAACCACCTACAAAAAGACCCTAAACCCTTAGCCCCTGACCACATTGCACCGAAAGTCCGCAACAGTCCGAAAGTCTCTGAGCCTTCCCAAGCCCTCGTGTTAGTGTTTTGTTCATCTACTAGAATAGGGTATAGTATATAAAGCCCTAACTAAAGCTCCCAAGCGCCCTAAACCCTAAACGCTAAACCCTTAAACCCTAAACCCTAAACCCTAAACCCCTAAACCCTAAACCCTAAAAGGCCCCTAAAAAGTCGTCCCCCCCCCCAGGCGCTGGCGAAGTTCGCCGGCCGCTGGGAGCTCAGCCGCTGCCCCGACGCCAGGGCGGCCCGCGAGCCTCGGAAGCCTCTGGGAGCTTTAGGGTTTAAGGTTTAGGAGCTTTAGGAGGTTTGGGGTTTCGGAGCTTTAGGGTTTAGGAGCTTTGGGGTTTAGGGTTTAGGAGCTTTAGGGCTTGTAAAAACTGTGGTATACAGACTATTAATATCCAAGTATATATTTATACTTTACTAGTATATCCTATAACATATTTCAATTATAAGATACCATGGTACTGCTGTAGGGTTTAGTTCTTTAGGATTGCATTTCAGTGTTTGTGCTTCAGCGCTTTAAGGCTTTTGGGTTTAGCGGGCTTCAACGTTCGGGGCTTCCTGGCTTGAGGTCTTGCGGGAAGGATTTTGCATTCCTGATCTTTTGCGACGATTTGCTCAAATTGGCCTGTATGAAACCCTGAAAAAATCCCGGATGTTGGCAGTGGCACTCCGTACTGCTGTGGTTGAGAAGGATCTTCATGCACCCGAGGCCCCTAAATTTAAAGGCACCCCCAGAAGTAGCCGCAAAGGAATCCGTCAAATCCTGCAGCCCCAGTGCAAGTGATTTCCAGTCTTATTGTTAACAGTGGTATCGGGACTATTGCTAGTACTGTTTGCATATGTACTGCTATTACGTAGAGGATTGTTTCTTGTGGAGGGCATCACAGTGTTCATCTTGATCCCAGGACTGGCTGAAAGACAAGGCGCTGGTTCGCTTCAAGCACTCGCAATACCAGCGCATGTCGTTCGGGTTTAGGGTTTCGGGTTTAAACTTGTTTAAATACCACACCCTTTAAGCAGTAGCGATGACAATGCGTGCGAAGACACGGGAGCATAACCAGCAGCAATGCTGATGGCAATAGTTAGCGCGATGATTACGGCGATGATCGAGGTGCCGATATTGTGATGTAATGAACTCACGGTGACCAAGATGAGAGCCATGATGATGGTGGTGATGAAGATGGTGGCTGGATGTGGGACCCCCCTTGCCGTGCAGGAGAAGATGGTA